GGTTGTCCCTGATTGTGCGGCGCTGATCGAACCCGTGAAATGTGTACCTGAGTTGTACCTAAGGTAACCATTGATCTGGTCTGCCTAGGTTTGTGTTAGGAATAAATTCCTAGCTGGTTGAAATCGATTCGAATCGCTGTCTCTCCCGGACAGTGAGAAACTTGGCTAGCTCAAACATCGTAGTAACTGGATTATGGAATGATGGTTATGGTGATCTTGGAACTTTTACATCGGCTATGGTTACTACTGTATGCTACTAAATGATATACCACATGTTTGACACAGGTTAGTTTCTAATCTAGAGATGAATAGCTATAATTAACTTGATGACCGAATTATAAATGTATAACTGAATTAGTAGCTTTTCATGCAAAATGTTGTCAAGCTAGCTCCACTTATAAAACCTTACATGATCCTTGGAGTCACTTTCTTTTTGGTTTATGACGGGTAAGTCTAGCTGAGTACCTTCTCGTACTCAGGGTTTATTTCCCACTCGTTGCAGATGGTATAGTCTATCATGGCTACCGTAAGAACTGCTTCTGTCCCGCCGTGGACTAGGAGTAGGACCCTAGGCAAGGCGACTCTTGTTAATTCCCTCTATCATGCTTTTGTGGTCGTGATCATAGACTGGCACTGTATTGGAACAATGATGTGAGGTGTTGGGTTTTAAACTTAATTGCTTCCGTGACTATTTTATTTGAACATGGTTTGTAATAACTCTTAATCGTACTCTGATGTATGACGTTGTATTTGTGAACTGATGTAACATGTGACATGTCTGTTGAATCATGTACGATCTTGGTTGTATGTTGACGGTTAATCAAGACCCTTCGTGGTACTCGATAGACTACCGGGTTTATATGGGCTCAAGTATGATAGTGTGACCACTTGCGGGCTACCATCGTACTTGTTGTCTTATAAATTGGACGATTCTGCTACAGTTGGCATCAGAGCAAGATTCAACATTAATTGCCACATGTGTATTTAAAACAAAGGTTTTTGTTTTCCAAAACTAGTTTTTAGAAACTTATAGCTATATATATAGGTGTTTAAATATAAAGTTTGAATCTAGAGTGTGCCAGTGATCACTTCTTTTATGCCCAGTTAAGGATTTTAGGTGGCTAATTAAGTACTAACTTGGGGGTTTTTACTTTCCTCGTCGATACGGCGTGCTATTGTATGGATGCAATTCACTTGAGTGGCAATGTATGGATCAAATGCCTCTACGCCCAAGGTAAGATGATGAGTGGCACGACCGCAAGATGTGAGCGTGTGGTCTAAGGGGATAGGTAGCTTTGATACTAAAGTATATATATGTCTCATATAAATATGGAGGTATTTAATTGTGGGTTAGCTTTGATACGGCTGTATATGCATATTTATATATATATATATATATATATATCGACGTATTTACTTTCGGGTAGCTTTGATACGAAAGTATATATATATGGGTATATATATATGGAAGTATTTAGATTGCAACCTAGAGCCTAGATTTTCATTTCTCCATATATAATTGTGGGGTTGGGCTGAAATGAAATTCTTGTGCAGGTACGCTAACAGCGAAATGTGTAGCCCGACTAGTTACGTTATATATGAGAGAATGCATGTATACCACCGTGTATGCCATTAGAAGTTTAATTCTCCTAAGTTTGTGAGGACATATGGAACGTGCATGCATCATGATAAATCATTATTACATACTTGCATTGTTCCTCCCCTTATAGGTTTCTTATTCGGTTAAGTAACTCTTTTCTATTATAATGTTATTCTCACAAGAGTTGCACCATTTTATTGGTACAGATGGTAGCATTAGCTGGGAGTGAGACCTTCCTAGAGATGTTTGGTACCCCTGCCCTGCTTTGGAGGGACCTACATTTGTGGGGTATACCGAACCACCCCTCTATTTTTGGAATGAAGAATAACTGGAGGGACAGCCATGGTATGAGGTGCAGCTAACCATACATGCTCGTACCCAAGCACCCCTATGGCAGGAGTGGAAGGTTGATTTCAAAGGGAAAACTCATTGGGAAGCTGCCTAAGTAGTGGCTTTTGAGGTGCTGAGTCAGATATGTCAGCAGCACGGGGAAGAGCTTACCGGTAGTGCCGTTGGTACTTTTCCTCGGGTGGATCCACGTATAGCAGTATGGGCACAGCGCAACCGCAATGCAATGATCTGAGACCGGGATGAGCGGGTAGATAGTTCTAGTTCCGCTATGAGTGCCATGTTCGCCGTGATGAAGATGTTCTATACTCATCAAGATACCCGGGACTTCTAGTAGGAGTCCTATACCATTTGCGGGGACAAGCTCATGAGAGCCAAAGCTGCACAGCATAAACTGAGGAAGCGTGTGCGCAAGCACGAACATGCAGCAAGTGAGGCTCGTTGGGACTCCGATCAAGCTTATGTAGCATTGGAAAATCTCCACACTCAGATGGAACAGGTCGATCAGCAGCGAGCTACCGCCCAAGAGACAAGAGCTGATGATCAGGCTATGCTAGTAGGACTCCGAGAGCAGTTGGAGGCCACTTGTGCCGAGACACTCACCGCTACGCACCAGCGAATCCAAGCAAACAACCGTGCAGCAATGGTAGAAGCAGCACGAAACAGTGCCAAAGCCTTAGTCGTGCAGCAGGACTGAGTCGAAAGGGACTTGTGCCAGCAGCTTGCACATACCCAGAACATGGTGGTTGATCTTTAGCATGAGGTGCATTATCTGAACAACCAATTGCACCCGCTCCTTGATGAGGAAGAAGAAAATCCGAAGATGTTAGTTGAAGATGACGGTTAGGAGGAAGAAGAAGTGGATCTGGAGGATGAGGATGATTCTATCTCCAACCTCGACAGCGAGCATGCTGAAGAGTAGAGCTGTTTAGTGACTAGTTTGAAGCGCTAGTTGTATCCCCACCATTTATGTAACAAACTTGTAGTTTGAACTTCAATAATCGTGACGTAACTTCGGTGTAATATTGATACTTTGCATGTTAATCCATGATGGGTTGAACTTTGATGAAATTCCAATTTTGTTTTACTAGTGAAATATGACATGCATGTTAACATGTTGCGAGTACGATAAGTGATCAAATTTGTGATGTTATGTTGCGAGAATCATTTATTGTGCCTCTATTTTATTGTATGAATTTAAGATTCGCTCTAGTAAATTCAATTTGGCATGATTACACAATTCATCTGCAATCTCTTGACATCATCCAATAATCACTTATTGTTGTAATTTTGCAGATGACTCGCACTCGCACGGGAGTAGGCACCAACTAAGGTGGCAATGATGGTGACTTACCACCACCGCCGTCACTGTCTACGAATGAGTTTTTCGCATAGTTCCTAGGAAATTAGAGAGCAATGGAGGATACACTGTGCCTCATTGCGTAGAACATTGCTCATGCCCACCAGCAACATCAAGGACTAGAACCAAATCAGTACAGTTCATTCAAGGACTTTCAGGACACCAAGCCTCCTATATTCAAAGAGGCCGAAGAACCACTCCAAGCGGATGAGTGGCTAAACACGATCATGTAGAAGTTTCACCTGTTGAGGGTCACGGAGCATCTGAAGGCTGAATATGCGCCCCATCAACTATAGGGACCTGTAGGAATATGGTGGACCCATTTCCTGTCCTCTTTACCTGCAAACGCACAGGTCACATGGGAACAGTTCAAGGTAGCCTTTAGGGGGCACCACATTCCCCCGGGGCTGATGCGCATGAAAGTAGTCATGTTCATGAGACTTACTCAAGGGACCAAAACCCTTATTGAGTACATGCATGCCTTCAACAATTTGTCTAGATACGCCCTAGGGTTCGTCGATACAGAGGAAAAGAAGATAGAAAGCTTCAAGAGAGGCCTTGGCACCAAACTAATGAAGACTATGGCCAACTCAAGATGTGCTACCTATAATGAGTTTGTCAGTGATGCCTTAACCCAGGAGAACCAAAACAACTTACACGCAGCAGCAAAGGGCCACAAAAGAGCAGCTGAGGCAGGTGCCTCAGGATTATCCCAGTTTAGAGCTCCAGTGGTAGCTAGGCCACAATTTCGTCGACCAGCGCCTAAGTTTAGGCCTCCTCCACCGAAAGCATAGGCCAATCACCCCTAGAAGACATTCCACAGGGCGTTCACCATTGCCCTACCCAAGGGTAACATGGGCCAAGGCAGCTCAGTAGGACCAAGAAGCAACTAGCCGTGCTTTAACTACAATCAGCTAGGTCATTGGACCAAGAAGCAATCAGCCGTGCTGTTATAAATTGGACGGTTATGCTACACGTTTGACCTCCAAAAATGGTGAAACAAGTTTCATTGTGCTCCATAGAAAGAAGCTATCTATGGCCAATGGTGAAACGGTCATCCACTTGATATCGTACGGGAATATGTTGCAGCCACATATATGTTTTCGCTGATTTATTATGTGCTCCGATGATAAGTTGTAAGCTTGAGTTGTGGAGGCTATTGTGGTATGATACTCAACCTGATCCTGAAGAGGAGTTGCCAAGTGCGCTCCTAGGGGAGTCGTCGAGGTTGGTTTGCTAAAATTGAGCTAATCAAGTGGATCACACTCATTTTAAGTGAATGAATGTGGTGGGTTCTCCACAGTAATAGTGACAGATGATGTAGTAAATAGAGCCAAAAGAATAGAAGCAACATGTAGTAAATGGAGCCAACAAATCCCACAAAAATATATGAAACCATCAACAGTAGGAAATTGAGCAGCCAACAGAGGCCACTAATAGTGCATTATAGATAGCAGTATGGCCTCACAAATGTAGGCTCAAATAAGGTCCAACTTGCCCAAAGTTACTTATAGTTAGCCACCCTCCAACTACACTAACCCAAAAGGACAGGTGCGAATCAGCCAACTAAACTGTACAAAAGCTACACCAAGGTGTGTATAAAAGGTGAGAGAGTGGGTGAGGGAGGTGGAGGAACTATACATCTCAACAGTCAACTCCCTTGAAGCACATGCTTGGCAACATGTACTGGAACTACATGTAGTTGTTCTTGGCTAGGTAGTTCTTAAGCCAAATGTCCCTATTGCTCTCAGTCATGCCAACAAAGCCTCTGCCTTGGGTCTTGTTGTCCAGTAGGTAGGTGTAGGCCACTATCAGAGCCTCCTTAGAGAAGCTAGGGGTCTCCATAACAGCAAGATATAGGTTAGCATCAACATGGGCTGGTCCAGTCTCCCTAAGTGCATTGGCCACATTGTTCACAACATCAGACATGTTGGTGAGCATGAGCATCTCATCCTCAGTGAAGTTCCCTCTCTTCCTCTTCCCACCCATAGTAGATTGCAGTAGCTCTATGGCCTTGCTGCCTTCACCAACCTTAGTGTTGGTCTTCTCCTTAGGAACATGGTGGAAGGCAGAGCCCTCAACCTTAGTAGCTGCACTTTTCAGCCTTGTTGACCCTAAGGGCCTTACCAGAACCAAGTGCATACCTATCAATGGCCATAGAATGCCCAAATATGGCCTCCATCTTAGGGTAGAACCTTATAGGACAGTTAAGGAACTCTGCAGCCTTAGGGTGGTCCTACAGTAGGGGATACAATTGTAGATGAGGTAAGAAAGGTAAGACAAACTGGCATGGTTAGCAACTCAAGAGTTCTACCTTGCAGTGGCCTAGGTAATGCTCCCCATCAAGCATGATTGCATTGACATCACTGTCCCACAATGCACCACTAAGATCTTTCAGCTTATAGATCCTAGACAACTTATGCCTTCACTTCCTTAGGTGGTTGTACACCTGAGTTGGGCTCATTGCATCCCCACTGTAGTCCTTAAGACACTTGGCTACATGGTTAACATCTTTGTCCTTGAACACCTTGTTAGGCCTAGTGCCATCACTAAGCAACTGGGCCATCCTCCTAAGCACAAACCCAGAGGTGTTGTTGTTCCACCTCATGGGCCCAGCAACAACAGCTGGTGCTGCAGCAGCAACAACATCAGTAGCTAGAGCTGCTTCAGCCCTAAGAACCTCGGGCATGAGCTCAGCAGTAGCCACAAGCCCACCCTAACCAGGCAGCACATCAACAGGAGCCAAAGCCATCCTATTTAGTTATCCAATGAAACATTAACATAATTCAATTACCATGATTACCAGCAATAGAGTAACATCAGATTTGGTGGCCATGGGACACACCCATGCAATGGCAACAACATCAGAGCATGCTTCTGTCATAGTATGGATGTATCTCATGGTCACAAAGCATGTAATCAATCCATAACTAGCAATAGAGTACCCATAAAGATAGAACAGTAACAACAGTATGTAGGATTAAAGCTCATTGGTCTCAGCCCTGTCCAATAATTATTACATAAGAAGTACACAAACCACATGTTCCATACCAGGGTCAACAAACTAAGTTATACAAGAATAAACATGCATGAATCAGGTCCTAGAGGTATCCCTACCCTGCCACATTGCATTACATATCCCATCCCTCCTAGTGGACATGGCAGTGGAGTTTTGAGATAGTAGCTCATGCATAGGCTAGGTATCAGGCTGGTTTGGTGGCAACCAATCCTCTGGAGGCACAGCTTGGTCAAGGCCAAAGCCTAGAATCTAGTTGTGAAGAATGCAATAGGCTAGAACAAGCTTGACCTATGCCTTGTAAGGGTGGAATGGCTTGTTGTCTAAAATACGAAACCTATTCTTCAAAGCCCCAAAAGCCCTCTCAACTATGACCCTAGGTCAGGAGTGTCTCAGGTTGAACAATTCCCTTGCATTGGTTGGGTGGTTTCTGCTGTCATACTCAGATAGATGGTACCTCACCCCCTGTAGGGAGGGAGGAAGCCACTACGGAAGCATATCCTGCATCTACAAGGTAGAATTTACCTACAAGTGCACCAGAGATGCTCTTGGTGAATGTCTATGACATGGTAAGGACAAAAGTGTAGTGGACAGTTGGTTTCAGATACCTTCAGGCCCAATGAACCCATCATTTCTTTCAATGGCATCAGCAAGGATGAGGGCATCATGTGCTGAGCCCTCCTAGCCAGCCAATACATACGTGAACTTGAGGTCAAAGTCCACAGCAACCATCACATTTTGTGTGGGGTTTGATTTCCTACCCCTGAAAGCCTACTGCATGTGTCTAGGCACCCTTGCCAACACATGGGTGCCATCAATGGCACCAATACAGTCCTAAAAAAATGTGTAAGTGGGATAAGTGCATTGGTTGACACCTAGAGTGAGTTATGGCTTAACACTTAAAGTGATAGTTACCTGCATGTAAGGATTCCATCTATGGCTCCCAAGGATCTTTGGATGAATGCCTGGTGTAGGAGGCTTAATCATTTCACTTCTAAGCCCATCAACATCATACAAAACATGGTGAAAGTGCCTATGGACAGTCTCAGTTGATCTCCTAAAGGTCTGGTGAACTACCCTAAACCTTTGGTTGTGTCCAACAACATGAAGGAACATTGCAACCTGCTCCTCAACTGTGCACCCAGCCTTTTCAGGTACAAGGCCCCTATCTCTAAAAAGGTTACAAAGAGCAAAAAAATGAGCTCTGGTCATCCTTATCATGGATAGGCACTCTGCATCTGTGGAGTTGAAACTGGCATGCAAGGTCTGCTTCCTATGCTGCTTAGCATCACTCCTAAGATGGTACAACAAAGGGTCTGGTTCTGGCCTGGACCTCCTAAGCCTAGTGACAACATAAGACACCATAACAACTACCAAGGCAGCAGCTTGACTAGCCATCAGCTCACGGGTTTGGGCAGGATCCATCTACATGCATGAACATTCAAGACAAACAGAGTTCAATTGACCCTGGCTGGCCTCAACATGGATGTGTAATCAGTCAACAAAAAAGTAGGCGTGGCTGCATGATAGAACATGCCTTCCAGTGCAATGGACATCATCATCGACCATAAGAATAGGTAAACAAATAGCATGAAACCATATTGAAGTCAGAACAAACGAACAGTTCAAGCTAAACCCTAAATCCAACATCGCATAACAAATCAACTGGCACCAACAGTTCAGATAAGCCACAAAGACAGGATCTTGTACAAATATACCGAAACCCTAGCATCATCCAAAGCAAATAGTACGGGGATTGCGGGTCGATTTCATCTCGGGGTGGTCGACGGAGGAAACGCGAAGCGCAAAACGGAGAAGAAGAAGACGAAGCAACGAAGAAGAAGCAGATCCCGACGGAGAGGAAGCAGATCCGGTACACAGCACCACCATGCGCACCACCAGAACCAAGGAAGACAAAGGAAGATGACAACCGCCTCCCGGAGTCCCAGCTAGGAAGACGGTGTGGCACCGCGTCCGACCAGATCCGCGGGGGAATGGAGAGGAAGGCCGATGTCGGTATTTTGGATCGGGGGGTCCTCAACCGACTAGTGAATAGGTGCCCTACGTCCAGTCTGAGGGAGCGATCTTGTATTCCTTGCACCGAGGTGCTTGTAGTAGGGGCTTACAAGCTGGGCGAGAGAGGGAGCTAGCCCTAGGTCTCTGTGAATTGCAGTGTGGGTTGCTTGAGATGTTGATCTCTTGTAGTGAAGGAGTGTGCGTGTTATAGAGTGTTGTGCGTGGCTTGCACCGGTCTCCTCCTACCTAGAAGTGGCCCTGGTCACTCCCTTTTATAGTCGAAGGGAGGCACAGGGGCGGTACATGTATTTGCTATGTGGCGTTCTTCAGTAGGGGCGTCATGTCTGAGACCTGTAGCTTATCACTGTGGCGGCGTGGTCGGTGGAGCGGTCTTGTCCTCCGTGCACTGGAGCGACGCACCGATCATGCCCGATCCTGTGCGACATGGGAGCTCCTGTGGTGGCAGGCGCGCCTTCTTCTATTGGAGGCGCGCTGGTCACTATATGTTTGACCAGCGCGGAGTGCCGAGGCCGGGTCGATGCGATGGCACGGGTATGCTGATTCCAAGGCTACAGGAGCTAGGCCTTATGCACGACGTGGGAGCTTCTGCAGCCTGACACAGGCAATGGCGCATTCTGTGGGCGACGTGCTGGTCCCAGAGCGCAGACAACATAGAGAGCCGAGGCCCAGTCGATGCAGAGGCTGGACCGTCGTGGGGGGCTCGGTGGGCGCGAGTACCGAGGCTACAGGAGCCCAGAAGTAGGTAGCTGAGGCTCGGAGGGAGCAGTTGGCCTTGCACGCCATTTCTGAGGCTATAGGGACCCGGACGTGACTTTCCATGCCTGAGCAGGGGTTAAGCAGCACAACGTGGCATGGGTGTCCGTCATGGGCATAGTGCCGAGCATAGCGGCCGATAACCCCCATCCCGTCCTGTCTCGAATAGCATGGGGTCGATGTGACTCCCGTCTCGTCGGTCACTCCGCTGTATCGTACCATCGTCCGGCTGACGTCGCGGGAGTGGTTGAACGCGTTAGTTGGATGTGACGTCTCGTTAGAGAAGTCGGTCAAGGCGGCGGTGACGGAGTTGATGCCGAGCCAGCCTCGAGCGAGTCGGTAACTGGGTGCTCGTCCGAGGCCTCATGGCGCGGGGCCTCGGGCGAGTCGGAAAATTGATACCTTGTCCGAGGCCTTGCGGTGTGGGGCCTCGGGCGAGTCAGAGAATTGGTACCTCGTCCGAGGCCTTGCGGTGTGGGGCCTTGGGTGAGCCGGAGAATCGGTACCTCGTTCAAGGCCTTACGGTGTGGGGCCTCGGTCGAGCCCGGATTTTTGTTCGAGGTGGGTCGGGCGGTCCAGCCGGGCCTTGGATGTGGCGTGTTTGCCTACGGTTGTATTTTGGTTTCGTTATTTACAAGGTCTAAGCAATTTTTTCGGTTCTTGCTTAGGGTACCCCTTTTTATGGTATCCGACAGTAGCCCCGAGCCTCGGGGGGAGTGTGAGCACTCTCCCTGAGGTTTTGACGAGACTTGGCTCGCAGCAGCTCCCGTCGGGATTGTGTTTTGTGCTTCAGGCTCCAGTGGGTGTGTGCGAGCGCACCCGCGGGGTGTAGCCCCCGAGGCCCTGGAGGAGTGGATTTATTCCTCTAGGGGCTTTTTCCCTATTGAGTGGGGGGGGGGGTTTGTCGCGTTTGTCAAGCCCCCGAGTGCGAGTTCGGGTCGCTGGGCCTCGGCTTGGTCGCAGGAAGAGCCCCCGAGCCTCTGCTTGGAGCAAGAGGGCGGTTAGGAGTTTCCCTATCTTTTTTGTGTGGCCCTCGCGCATCCTTTTCGCTCAGAAGGAGGGGTGGAGTATGCCAGGCTACCCTCGGTGGGCGAGCAGTGACACCTCCGGTGAGCTGTTATCGGGTAAGTCCAAGTAGAGGCCCGTGCCCCATTCGATAGGGGTTGGCTAGCGATCCAGAGACACGCTCCAAAAGTACTAGAGGGCTTCTCTAGTGGGTCCCAGGGCCATTCGATTGGCCCTGGGGGCTCGGTGCCTCCCTACGGTGGGATCCCATTCAGAGACCTCCCTGCCGGTCTCGGACACGACTTAGGGCATCCCAAGCAACTGCTTGCTTGGGTCTCGGCCATATACGGGCTCGCCCTTAGTCATCCCTGACTCTATTTGTCCTAGGGTGGCTGTCGAGACCCTCGGGGGCCCAGCCTTCGAACCCCTAGACCGTAACGGGCTCGGTGCCCAGTTCCTTATGTCAAGCCCCTGAGTGCGAGTTCGGGTCGCTGGGCCTTGGCTTGGTCGTAGGAAGATCTCCCGAGCCTCTGCTCGGAGCAAGAGGATGGTCAGGAGTTTTCCTATCTTCTTTGTGCGGCCCTCGCGCATCCTTTTCGCTCGGAAGGATGGGTGGAGTATGCCAGGCTACCCTCGGTGGGCGAGCAGTGACACCTCTGGTGAGCTGTTAACAGGTAAGTCCAAGTGCAGGCCCGTGCCCCATTCGATAGGGGTCAGCTAGCGGTCCAGAGACGTGCTCCAAAAGTACCAGAGGGCTTCTCTAGTGGGTCCCAGGGCCGTTCGATTGGCCCTAGGGGCTCGGTGCCTCCCTGTGGTGGGATCCCATTCAGAGACCTCCCTACTGGTCTCGGACATGACTTAGGGCATCCCCAGGAACTGCTTGCTTAGGCCTCAGCCATGTACAG